CCGTGGGGGAGATGGGCTGCATACAAGCCAAATAAATAAATAAATAAATAAATAAATAAATAAATAAATAAATAAATAAATAAAGTAGCAATGATGGTGAAAAAGTTTCTCTGCAATTTAATCAAAATTGTTTTATGTGATTTATAAGTTTGGCTTGTAACTTTTCTTGCTTTAAAGGCATTATTGATGAAGATTGATGCTTTTCATTACATTCAGCTGGGAACTGTATACAGGTGAGTCAGAAAGTCTTTTTCTCTGGGCATCTGTAATTCACTATAATAGCAATATAACAGTAGAATGACCTCCTGCCTTGTTTGACCAATCAAATCATTGCTATGCTCTCTATGCAGCACTTTTACTCTCACTTTGTTCTCCCTTCTGCATTAATGGTGGAACAACCCAGAAAGCCATATGTAGTCGTTCTTTAACCATTCTTCCCATTACATCCAAGAAATGCAAATTATAGTATTTTAAAAAGACAGCATTTGAAAGCCATCTTTAAATGTATGTTTAGGTTTTGGCTAGTAGAAAAAAAAGAACAAAAGATGGCTGGGCTGTATCTTAAGAGTAACCAGGGTTACTAAACTGATTCTCTGCTGCATTAAATGTCTGGGTGAGATAATAATGCTTTTATTGGTTGAACTAGTCAAATCTGTTCTTTACCTGGAGTGGATTAGCTGGCTAATGTTCTTACTTCCAGCTGCTAAATTGTACTGGTAGGCTGCTAAAAGTATTCCACTGTTCGCAGCTGGTCTTGCTAACAGGACTGATTCTAAATCTGTTTCAGCATGAATCACCATTCTGTTTGTGCTCAACAAAATTCAGGTATAAACACAGTGTTAATTCTGTAAACAGTCTGACTGATTACTCAGTCTGTTCAAATCTCTGCAAATGTTTAAAAAATCATTTGCATCTCTCTGAAACAATTATTTTCTGTTAGACTACATTCCTGCATTTTAAAAAACATTGAGATGGGACCTAACTATTTCTTGTATTTACTAAATAATAAGTAGTGGCATTCTGTAATGCTAGAGATTCTTTATAACTAAAATAATTTATATTTTATTTGCAGTGTTTTAAATATATCCTAGAGAGTGTTTGACCAAACTGGTACACAAATATTTTTGGACTTCATTTCCTAATTAGTATGCTCATCAAAGGTTTAGAGGAATTGAAGACCTGCACAGATGGAAGATGCTAACTGAGAAAGTTATCCAAGCATTTAAAACTTAACATCTTGAACTCTATTACTTTGAAGTAAACCCATTGAATTCACAGGGACTTAGTTCTATTTAGATATATTTTGGAATGCACTGCCTACAATTTTTGGGCAGCTACTCATCCAAGATACCTTACTGGGAAGAAGATTAATTCTCCTTTGTCACTTTGTAATGTCCTTTGGAAAACCTACCAATTAAACTGGATTGGGGGCAATTTGCAGGCTGAATGCTACCCACAATACTCTTTGTTGAAACGCAAACCCTTGATTTGACAAATTATCAAATCCTCAAACATTAGCGGCTAATTTCAGGTATGAAGCAAAAGCTGTAAAGTGCATTAAGCCTTTGGATAGGCTTAGTGCACCTAAAATAAAACTAGTGGGGTAAGGGGAAGCAAAATGATGAGAAACTCCCCCAAATGTAGAAACATTCAGATCCACTTATTTGCACATCATCATCATGATATTGTCCTGCTCCCTTTTGTCTCAAGCCACTGAAAACGATAGTAAAAAAAAGTCTGTCACCCCCAAGTGTCAAAAGGTTGTTAGAGATAATCTGAACTGCATTTTACATTTCTGATACTTCATCTTAATCCAACAGCTGGAAATAGCACTCCTGCCTTCCAGTATTATACCACTGCAAAGGATAATATTTTTATATCTGTCTGTCTGTCTGTCTGTCTGTCTCTCTCTCTCTCTCTCTCTCTCTCACACACACATTTATATGGCTGCAAGAAGGACAGTGTGCTATAAAGATATAAAACAATAAACATGTCAAAAAACAGTCATTATTAAAAAGTTTAAAAAAGCATAAGGTACACAAGAGATTAGATTAGCAAGGGAGCCACCTTAGGATCTCACCGGTGCTCCGGGACCCCCAGGCCTGATGACATAATAATAAACAATTATGTTATTCAATATGTTCGTAGACTGCTTCCTAAATAAAAGCATCTCAAAGTGGATTACAAAATATAAACTATTCAACAAAAGCAATAAATGAGAAATATTAACACTTGAAAGGAGGGGGAAAGGAAAACAGTTGCAGAATCAGAAACTGCTCATCTGGCAATCATACAGGAAGACCTAAGTGAAGAAGGAAGTTTTCAGTAGGTACCTGAAAGATGTCACCATAGACTTCTCACAAGTTTCATGGAAGAGAGAATTCCAGAACAGATGTATTATCAGAAAGAAAGTTCACCTGTGAATTATGGCAATAGGATATTTTTCTTCTGGGCATATGCAGTAGGGCTTTCTCTGACATTCTCAGTAATCAACAATTTCTGAGGTTTGCTTTGCTGATTTCAGTCTGTCTCAATTAGCAATTCATAGAGAATTTAGAATTGTTCTGAATAGTTAACGGTAATGTTTTCCTTAGGTCAGACTAGAGCAATGTTCCTCAACCTTAGCAACTTTAAGATATGTGGAGTTCAACTCCCAGAATTCCCCAGCCAGCATTTTGAAGTCCACATATCTTAAAGTTGCTAAGGTTGAGGAACACCGGACTAGAGAATTGTATATATAACTATTACCATGTAAGACCTGCTTGGCTTTTGCACTGATGTTACTGCTGTTGTTGCCAGAGGATTGAGTGTTGTGCCAGATGAAGAAGTCATTGCTATGTATGATGGGTCCCACGTGCCCCTGGAACAAATGAGCGACTTCTATGGAAAGGTAAAACTACATGAGCCATTTTCTGTTACATGGAAATTTGAATTCATATAGGTGTGTTTTTCTTCTGCATACTTTACAGCAGGGTACCTCAGCCTTGGCGACTTGAAGATGTATGGACTTCAACTCCCAGAATTCCCCAGCCAGCATCTGGGGAAGTCCACACATCTTCAAGTCGCCAAGGCTGAGGAACCCTGTTTTATAGAATACTAACTTACAACCACTTGTCACATTACTTCTATTTTACTATAGGGCAAAAATCCCTTCCAGAGGAGATTTTTAAGATTACAAAATTTAAAGCAATAATCTAAAGCACATTTTGAATCCAGGACAAAATCCTTTAAAACATAAACATGAGGAATGTATAAACCAGGGGTCCCCAATTCTTATGGGCTAGTGGCCACAATTCAAATTTGTGAGCATACTGTGGGCACTTTCTCAAAGTGTCTCAGAAGGCTTGCTAAGCCATAAAATGGATGCCACAAGAGAGATGTAAAGGACCCGTTTGCAAAATGGTGCCTGCCATGCAATATAATGTCTTGCCCCTTCCAGCAGAATGCTTCCTATCTCCTTTTATTACCTTTATGGGCTGGTGAGCACCAGAACTGTCCATAAGGGATTTTAAAAAGTCAAGAACAGTCACTCATGCCCTGGTCACCTCCCAGTTGGATTACTGCAATGCGCTCTACCTGGGGCTACCTTTGAAGAGTATCTGGAAGCTACAGCTGGTGCAGAATGTGGTGGCGTGGACAGTTCTGAATGCCTCCAGGGGGGCACATATAACACTGCTATTACGTGTGCTGCATTGGTTGCCAGTTTGCTTCCGGGTCCAATTCAAGGTGTTGGTAATCACCTTTAAAGCCCTTCATGGCACAGGACCAGGTTATCTGAGGAGCTGTCTCGCCCCTGTTATATCAGCCCGCCCCACTCGGTCTGGCAGAAGAGGCATGCTGCAGACCCCACCAGTCAAGGAATTTCAGCTGGTGGGATCTAGGAAGAGGGCCTTTTCTGCCGTGGCCCCCGCTCTCTGGAACAACCTACCTCCTGAGGTCTGGTGTGCCCCACTCTCATGGCCTTCAGGAAGAGCCTGAAATCCTGGCTGTGCTAGATGGGGGCTCGCATCGGTGGAAGTGGCTTGTGGGGTAATTGATTCTGCCTCCCCGTCATCTTGAATGTTTTTAGTTTTGATGTATAGGGTTTGCTTATTGCTTGACCTTTTAATTGATTAATCAATTTTAATTAATTAATGTGTATTTTTTAATTGTTTGTGGATTTTGTTTTAATTGTGAGCCACTCAGAGTCAACCCATTGGGGGAGATGGGCAGGATACAAATTTAATAAATAAATAAATAAGAAGGCAACCATGACTCTGTGATCATAGCCACCATCTTGGTTTTTTTGTTTGTTTGTTCTCCCACCCACGGTGAACACACTTCCCAACAATGTAGCTGTTCATTGTTATTTTCTAAGAAAAAAATTAAAGCCACTTGGGCTTGGAAGGAAAGATCATGTTGGAGACTTTGCTTTGCAATGACCCAGTTTCCCTGCTTAATTTTTATTTTTTAATGTAAAAAGACAGGTGGGCAGAGCCTGATGGGTGCCAAGAAAAATACCCATGGGTGTCTTGGAACCCCTGACCACCAGATTGGAAACTTAGGTGTAAACAATTAAAAAGCTAGCACAACATCTTTCAATAAAAAGAAAACAGTTTCAAGAATCCTTCTAAGGACAGCAAAGAAAGACCCAATTGTATATTCATTTGAGATGCTACCAAAAAGTTCTTGTCTTTTGTATCTGATAATCCGACTGCATTATAACTGACATATTCCAGGCTAAGAGAAGCTTGTGTTTGTTTGTTAGTTGGTTCCTTGTAGGCTTATTGAAAGCATTAATAACACTTTCTGAAATGTCTGATACTGTTTTATGGCACATACATGAATTTTGCATGTTTGGTTGCAGAGTTCACACGGTCACACTATGAAACAGTTCATGGATATCTTTTCCTTGCCTGAGATGACTCTCCTGTCTTGTGTGAATGAGTATTTTCTGAAGAACAACATTGACTATGAGCCAGTTCATCTCTACAAAGATGTGAAGGTATTGGGCTATCCCAGTGTGACAGTTATTCATATAACAGCGTTTCCCCAGCCTGATGCCCTCTAGATGTGTTGGACTTCAACTCCCTTAATACCCATTCAGATTTCTCTTCTTGAATATGATCCTATTTCTTGATGCATATTCCACATGATTATTTCTTCACTGCTAACTGCCATAATCCTTCAGGTCTGAAATAGAAAATCCATTACCGTAAGAATGGTAATACCCATTAAGATAAACCATTATGGCCCAGAGAAAAACGGATAGCTTATTTTTCTTGGCTATTGGTTTTAATAAGTATGAAGAACGTTTGTTTCATTCAGATTTAGCTCATCCTTAGATTTCCTATTGAGAAATGTAGTTACTGAAAACAAGTTTTGGGTCTTTGGAAATAAAAGTTCCTGGCTCTCATGGTTGTAAAGATGACCTTGGAAATGTGTAAGCAACATCTAAATCTTAAAAATGGAGTGGAAACCTTGGCCGAGTATGCCAGGAACTGTGTGTCAGCAGTGTGGAGAAAGTGCAGAAGGGACAGGGCCACTCCCCCTGCTGCCTTGGACCATCCACATATGGATGACCAGACATATGCATCTCCTTATTTGCGTGAGTTTGAGACTGGCTAGCAGATTGGACGGAGTACTCTTGCAGTGGACTATAGTTTTCCCGTGCTTAATCTGAGAAGCTGGAGGGAGAAGGAGGTAAATAGGCTTGTAGGCATTCAGTACCTTGCTCAGTTTCCTGTGACTAGCAGAAAGGAATGATTCATAGCAAGCAATTATATATGGCCTTAGTTTGCATAATTTATACACCAGAATTCAGTTTCTCTTAGAAACTGGTTCACTTTGGCACAAAACTACATTAAAAATGGTAAGCATGGTCTAGCCAATGGTTTTTGAACCTGGCTTGTTAGTACACTATTTTTTAAATTGTGAATTCACGAGAGTCGTTGTATGAACATTATAATTTGAGCAAATTGCTTTCTAATATAAAGTTTTGACCTTGATATGGATATCCTCTTGTTCTGAATGTTGACTGCGTTCACCCAGCATGTGAACTTTCATCTGGTTTGTTTGATTGTGTGAACCCAGACGTTATGGTTTATGCTTAGTGCATGTGAACCAATTGTGGTTTATTCAGTAAACCACTATTAAAAAATCCATAATATAATGCAAGGTTGAAACCAGTCTATTTTCTAATCATAGATACAGCAAATAGAGCAGTAGGAAACTGGATGATGTTACTACTAATCCCCAAGTGAATAATTGTTTTCTTGGGTAGCTCCCAGTCTTGCTAGTCTCAGTTTCTGGAAACCTTTCTTGCTATTACCTTGTCTTGCCATGCTTCCTGCAATTTACTTTATCAGCAACTGAAATAATTATAGAAATCATGCCATAGGTTGGGGGTAGAAGATATCCTGCTAATTAATTTCCTTGCCCATCAGATATTATCCTTATATAAAGAAATATCGCATTCTCATTTTCATTTTCTCTAACAGGATTCAATCAGAGATGTACACATCAAAGGGATAATGTACAGTGCAATTGAAGCAGATATTGGTGAGCATGAGTGAAATTTTATGGAGATAACGCTTTTTCCTCTATTAACGGATGTTTTTCGTAGGTAGCTCACTGACCTTTGAATCACCATGTATTCCAGTTCCACAGAGTGTCAGGTCACCAGTGATACCCCACTAGTACATGCAAATCCCTCACATTACTTTTAATTAAAAACAAACTCTCACAGGATTGGCAAGATTTCAGTGTGCTTGTACAACACCTTGCAAGATTTCGGGATGCTTGCATGAGATTTTTAGGGTCATATTGCTACTTCTTGTGAAGTTTGGGGCAATTTAAAAAAATAAAATAAAATAGAGGGAATCTGAAAAGATTATAAAACCCTTGCTTCCATAATCCTTCGCTAGAAATAGACTCTTTGCCTAGTATGCTTTAGTGTGCGGGTGGAAGCTAGAGATTTTAGCAAGTCCGGTTTCACCTTTGTCCAAAGCTTTCTGGTTGTGGGTCCGTTTGTACCTATATTTAGAATTGGTTTCTGTAAGAGGTCCTGCAGTGGTAATGAACAGATTCTGTAATCTTTTCACGTCAGCTGTGCGGGCAATAGCTGAAACAGAGTTCCTTCTATTGTGATGCAAATGTGGCAAACCCAAAGTGAACAATGTAATTCAGCTTGCACACTAAATGTATTCATATGAAGATGCCTAGATATTTAAGACTTTTAAAATCTTGGCACATGAGGTGTTCTTTAAAATGTTTAGATCAGTGTTTCTCAACCTTGGCAGCTTAAAGACATGGGGACCTCAAATCCCAGAATTCCCCAGCCAGCAAGGT